CACCTTGAGGATTGGCTGCCTTCTTATCTGACACAGCGGCGCTGTCGGCTCCATGGAACACTGTAACAGAGGAAACACGGTTGAGGTAAGTCCAAAAGATTTGCTACCCTTTCCAGGGACTGTTAGACCTGTGGTTCCCCACATTGGTAAATCAACACTTCCCTTGGTCAGTACAGTAAACCACGGTCCGGTTACTCACAGGTGATGACGGACAAAACAACAAGACAGGTGAGAAGAAGAGGTCGAGTCCAGGACATTTTTAGATTTAGCTGAGCAAGAGCAAAGAAAAAGTGGCTGATGTTCTCAGGGACGTCCTGCCTGAGATTGGGCTTGTGGTCGTGAGAGCAATGAATGGAATTTGACCAGGAGGGTGAAGGAGGGGTGGAGTCCTGGGAATGTGTTGCTTTTGGGGTGGGGGTGGCACCGGAAAGAAAAGGTGGCAGGGATCGAGCTCTGTGGGATCTCGCTTGAAACGATCATATGATATGGGAAGGGTGCAGTGTTTTTTTGTTTGTTTGTTTGTTTGTTTTAATGGCCTAATGACGTTTTACTGGCATTAGTGCATTGGGAATTTATTAATAACACTCTATTTTACAGGGTTTAACACTTTACAATAAGGTTCCATTTGTTAACATTAGTAAACTACATTAGTTAACATGAACTAACAATGAAAAATACTTGTAACGCATTTATTTAGCTCAGTTCATATTAATTACAACATTTACTAATACATTATTAAAATCAAAATTTTTATTTGTTAATATTTATTAATGGACTTAATCTAACATGAACTAACAATAAACATTTTTTTATTTTTTTATTAACGTTAACCAGGATTAATAAAACTGTAACAAATGTACTGCTCATTGTTAGTTAATGTTAGTTAATGCATTAATTAATGTAAACTAATTAACCTTATTGTAAAGTGTTACCAAAATATGCAAGTTAAGGCATTTTGTGGCATAATTTTGATTAGAATGTTTTTTATAATTTAATATTTTTTATTTTTTAGAATACATTGCTTCCTTCACAAAAAAAGGTTATGGGGGCACTTACTTAAAAAGTTGTAAAATTGTTTCAAACTTTACACAGAAAAGGTTAGTATGTAGTTTTCAAATTAAAATCATGTTAACATTATTTGCATGATGTGGCATAATCCTAATTATTATAAAAATAAAGAAATAATAATAATTTGTTTTCTTTACAAAAAAAATGAAATTGCCATAAGGTAGGCACTTACAATGGATTTTTTTGGAAGGTTTACATGCAGAAATATGAAATTTATAATTTTAAAAAAGCACTTACATGAATTCTTCTGTTAAAACATGTATTATTCATAAAGTTATCATTTTTACAGTCAGTTTAGGGATTTAGGCATTATGTGGAACCATAATTGTTGTAAATTTACCTAGAAAAGGTTAGCAAGTGATTTTTCACAAAAACAAATCATGTTAACACATTTTTTGTTACATCTTGTGGATATTGAAATCGTAAATATTTTAATGTTAACTGATTATGTTGGCTGCAGTAGCACAAAAAAAAATATTTTTAAATTGTTTTATTTACAAAACATTTATTTACAACCTTACAGTGAGATACTTTGAATAGAAGTGAATGAGGCCAATATTTGTAGGGTGTAGATGCAGAAATGTGAAGCTTATAATTGTATAAAAGCAAAAAAGTATTCAAGGTTTTTTTTGTTGTTGTTGTTGTTTTAGGCATTACCTTGTCATTGCAAGTTGTAAAATTGGATATAACTTAACATATAACAGGTACAGATTTAAAAAAAAATTGTGATAATTAGCATCATGACACAAATGAATACTTATATTCCAAAAATGAAAATATTAACTTTTCAGCAAATAATTTCGAGACATGTTTCTGGCCTCAGAGGTCCAAAATATGTAGAGTGCTTTGCACCTGAGGGGTGTGATCCAACACAAGGGGCTCCTCTCATGCCTCATGCCCCAGGCTGGAGCAAATGTCTGCGGTTCTGTGTTTACTTAGGTTTTTTTTTTTTAAGCTGGAGTCTGGCCAATGGCAGGATGCAGTGAATGATGAAATTGAATGAAGAGGGCCTCTTTCCGAGAGTCTGGGGCCCGGAGAAACTGACATGTGAGAATATGTAAAGGAAAGACTTCGAAAGAGACATACAGTGTGTGTATGTGGTTGACTGGATGACAGAGAGAAGAGTTTTGAAGAGGCTGCCAGAATGTGTCGCACATGCCTGCTTAAAATATTCCTCACCGGACAGTCGTAAACATGCCAAAACTGCTGCCTTTTTCTGTTCCTCAGAGTCAAGGCTGTGTCACTGGATAATCTTTCAAGTTGTTGAAGCATTATAGACTTTGTGGAAGCACAATAAATTTAAAATAGACTTTAAATGGTTATTGAATCTTTGTTGTCAGGGTATTTTGGTCACTGAATTAATAAAAAATGCAAATAAAATTTGATTAGGACTAATTGTGCCAACAACCACAGTCATTCACTGTCTGTCCTGGAGGGAGCGCCAACTCTCTAGATTTACCTGCTTCTTTATTAGAATCTGTTGCAAAAAAATATATCAAAACAGCATAAATAACAATAATGCAACAACTTTTTTTATCAACAACTAATGAAAAAAATTATGCAAGATGCATAATTTGGAACATTTTCTCAAATATGAGGACATTTCTGTAAGACAGGGTCATTTTAGTATCATTACTGTTATAGTTTTAATGCGCCAACTGTCTAGATTTACCTGCTTCTTTATTAGAATCTGTTGCAAAAAATATATCAAAACAGCATAAATAACAATAATGCAACAACTTTTTTTATCAACAACTAATGAAAAAAATGATGCAAGATGCATAATTTGGAACATTTTCTCAAATATGAGGACATTTCTGTAAGACAGGGTCATTTTAGTATCATTGCTGTTATAGTTTTAATTAATATTTTGAATTAGTTCTTATTTTTTAATTTAGTGAGTTTTGGTAGTTTTGCCAATTTTTTGTAATTTGTCAAATTTCTTACATTATTTGGCTTCTCATGTACATCTTGTTTTAAGCATGCATGTTTAAATATTTTTCATTTTAAAAAGAACGGGAAAATGCTGATTAAATGGTTTTGTATTGTAGTTGCACCACAAGCTGAAACATTTTAATGCATCTCTTTGGTCACGAAGGTATTTTGTGAATGTGTTTGTGACTGATTCATTAAAGAATTGGAATTTGACTGTTATTAATGAATCATTTTTGCTGCTGAAATGCTACATAAATTCAAAAATAGCAATACTACTGAGAAATGTATATTAAAGTGACATATAGACAGGTGATATTTGAGACGCGTTGATCTTTGGTTATAATTCAATTTGATCGACCAAACACTGCAAATTAATAACTTTGCTTAGACATATTATTTGGATGTAATTTATGACAAAAAGTAGCTAATATTGCCTTTCTTCCTACAGAAGAGTTGAGCTGCAGGACTGTTGTGAATATGTGTTATGCCATCAGCACTGCTGTCAGTGTCTTTGCAGGGCTCTCTACTTATAAAACTGTTGTAAATGGATGTGGGAACATTTTCTGCCTCTTGTGCAATCATGTCAACTTTTGGAATAGTTTGTCTTTCTCAGCTTCAGGCATCCTTGCATGCATATGATCTGGAAATGTCCTGGACATACTGTGCATTTTGTAGCATTTACACAAATACAACTACCAAGATACTACACAAGACGATGCACACATTCTCAAACACGCATTCAAAAAAGGAATCTGTTTTATTTGAGGAAAAAATGTTTGAAATGTACATTTTAACATGAATTAGCATTATGTTTTTTCTCAGTGTGGGACATTTAACTTGCACATTTAAGCAGCTGTAACACCCCACAGTTACCCTGAAACTGTCATAATTGTCTAGCCTTTAAAACCGAGGCTAGCTGTCTATCTATCTATCGTTTGTCTGTCTGTCTGTCTGTCTATCTATCTGTCTGTCTATCGTTCTTTTGGTCTGTCTGACTGTCTGTCTATCGTTCTGTCTATGTCTGTCTGTCTGTCTGTCTATCTGTCTGTCTGTCTATCTATCTGTCTGTCTGTCTGTCTGTCTGTCTATCTATTGTTCTGTCTGTCTGTCTATCTGTCTGTCTGTCTGTCTATCTATATCTGTCTGTCTGTCTGTCTGTCTGTCTGTC